CTCTAGCTTTAATGGAGTCTTTTGTACAATTTCATTTTGTGGTCTGTCTTGGCATATTGACTACATCTCTTCTTCTATACTTGTCAAGTGATTGCCCCAGCGTGCACAATTTACATTTCAGTTGATCCAAATCCACTTTTGAACAAAGCTTCATCAGTAGTGCAAGCACCTTAAAACAGAGTTTTCCTAATTTCTTTCTTCTGTCCCTTACAACACTGAATTATTCATATCACTTATTCATAAGCTATAATCTCTGAATATATTGTTCCTATTTTTATTTTGAACCAACTTTTATCTATCAGATCAATTAAGGAAAATAAAATACTCCCTTTGATTTTTTTTTATCTAATGATTTTCCTTTCCTTATGTAGATATGAGTTTCTGAACTGTATCTTTTTCCTTCCTTCCGAAGAACTTCTTTTTAACATTTCTTGTAAAACAGGGCTACTAGCAACAGATTCTTTCAAGTTTTGCTTGAGGAAATCTTTACTTCTCCTTACCGTAAACAAGATGTAGAAGCTTAGGATTCCTTTTATAAAACCGTTTTGGCAAATATTAAGATGTTACACAGTTCTGCAGCCATGGATTCAACCGCCCATGGATTCAACTAGCTGAGGATCATGTAGTGCTGTAGTGTTTAGTATGGGGAAAAAAAATCTGTGTATAAAGGACCCTTACGGTTCAAACTCATGTTGTTGTTCAAGGGTCAACTGTGCTTGCAATCTAAATCTTACAATGAAAACACAAAACACAAAATATCCAGTGCTAAACACTGATCCTCCATGACTGACTCTATATAAATATTGTGGGTTTTATCTTCTATAAAAAGAAATTTTTAGAGTTTTGTCAATACTTATAGCATGTACTGTTATTTATCACCAAAATATTTATAAAGTCTAAAATGCTGGTATAAAAAGCAGGGATTTTTTCCCCCCCTTCTTGAATACTCTAAAACATAGCAGTTTACATTACCCTTCAGATTTTCAGGGCATTAAAGCTATACAAATAGCATATCAAGGGCTATTTGTTAATATATTTAGGTTAAGTTTGTTTACAGTTATTCCAGGAATCTCTTCAACTTTTAAATAATGAGAGAAAAAAAATCCTAAGCAAACAGAAGAGAGATGACAGACCGAGCTATTTCTTGGTAAGAAGAATACATTACATCAATCTTTAAAATAAATCCTTAAAAATATTCAGAAAGTATTTATGTCTTATAATTGATAAGCAATGTAGTCATGTGGTGGAAGAACATATAAGACAACAAATAGAAATTTAAAATTTCAAAATAAGAAATTTTCAAATTAAGAAATCATCATTGTTGCTTCGGAAATTATGCCTTATATTAATCTCAAATTCACTTCAAGTACTTGGCATATAATTTAGTACCAAAGAATACTCTAGCTGAAATATTTCTTAATGTGTATAGAGTGTAAGGTCTCTGGATAGACAGGTTTCATACAACAGTTTTCAATCAATGCTGAAAAAAACAAATCACTTGATGTAATCACAATAAGCAAATCATTTATTAACTCATTAGCAAGTTATTCAGGAATTTGTGTGGCATAAGGACCAATGAAGGGGCTAATCTGATACCTTCTCACCAGGCAATTAATATTCTACATAGCTGCTTTACATGTTTGCCTGTGTGTGATTTGTTCGACAAAATTATGTACACAATATCAAGCTTTTTCCTTCTTTCTTCCTTCCTTTCTTTTCTTCTTTTTTTTTTTTTGAAGCAATTCAATGATTTGAGGGGATTAATTAGTACAAGACAGAGAACATAAAGGGGAAAGTATAAAGAACAGACTGACGCTGAGCACCAATGCCAGTACTCATCATATGCGGTTGTAACTAAGGATGCTGTTAATTTTGTGCTGTTCACTTTTCTTTAGAACATAAGTCATAGCCAATAACTTGAACCTGAGGTATAGGCACAACACGTACACGACCTTAAACAAAACACTTTGTAAAGTCATATTGCATTTTAAAATATTAGGAACCAAATACTTGTTCAGATTTGTATTTTAACTTAATGGAACAAGAAGAGAAAAATAGTCAACTAGAGAAGATAATGCTCATCATAATAAGCTCTTAGGATTCAAAATGTCTTGTTTTTCCCCTTTGTACTTATCACAGGCTACACAGTGTCCTGAGGGCATTCATTATATGAAAAAAAATACCAATCACAGCTTTAAGACCTTACTTCAGAATGAACTGATGAGAAGGCAATTGAAAGATGAAGCTTCATTTTGTTTTCAAATAAGTGGTCTTAATTTTTCCTCTTGTAGAAGAAGTTTAAATCAGTTTATTATAAATATATCTAAATCATTACCTTTTAGGTAAAATTCAGCACTTGATTTATACAAAGTCTATGAGAAGGAGTCCGAAGAGACCTTCTGATCTTAAATGTGACATCATCCATTCAAGTCCACAGCACATTTCACTTGCAGCATTGTTTAAATGCAAAACAAAACAAACAAAACAAACAAACAAACAAACAAATAAAAAGGAAAAGGAAAAAGGGAAGAAAGGATATAACAAGCCTAAGTATCACTGATATGAAAATGGGTAAATAAATCGTGGTGTAAAAATAGAGCTAGAATTTGATACAGCCATTCCTCTTCTGGATATTTACCTGAATAAAATGAAAACACAAAAGATGTCTGCACCCCCATATTGTTTACAGTATTATTTATAGTAATCAAGATACGGAAACAATCTAATGCCCATCGATGGATGAATGAATAAAGAAAATATGATTTTATATATATATATAGTGAAGGAAATCTTGCCATTTGCAACAGGTTGAATGGACCTCAAGGGCATTATGCTAAGTGACATAAGTCAGACAGAGAAAGGCAAATATTTAATGATCTCACTTATATGTGCAATCTAAAAAAAAATCAAAACAAAAATTGAGCTCATAGATACAGAGAACAGATTGGCCCAACCCCTACCTCCTAAAGGCAGAGAGTAGGGAGTTGGGCCAAATGGGAAAGGTGGTCAAGGTGAAAACTTCCAGTTATAAAATAATTAAGTCACGGGAACATAATGTACAGCATGATGACTGTGGTTAATAATACCATATCACATAATTGAAAGTTGCTAACAAAGTAGATCTTAAAATTGCCCATCAAAGGAAAAAAAATTGTAACTATGCATAGTATTAGTTGTTAACTAGATGTTTTGTGTGATCATTTTGCTCAGATGAATCATTGTGTTGTAAGTCCGAAACTAATATAAAGTTATACGACAACTTTATACCAAATGAAAAAAAAATTGTGGGGTAGTGATATAATACTACATAGCTATTAAAGTGAATGAACTAAACCCTCATGTGTCAACCCAGATGGATCTCAAACACATAATAGTGAAAAGACAAATCAGTAGTAGGATAATTCTTTTTAAAATAGTATTTATATAAATATTAGAAACTTTTGCATTAATGCATAGCAACTGCCATGAAAATGTGGACTGGAAGGATAAAAACTAAACTCCGACTAGTATCTCCCTCTGAACTTTGGAAGATAGAAAAAAGCCATCAATACTGTTTTGTTTTATTTCTTTAAAAAAATTATTTTTTTTTCCAGCAGGCTGTCTGTATATACTGAATACCTGAGTGTGTGCTGTATTATCCCAGAACTATGTTTCATGTTTTGAGCATCTCACATATGGTGAGACACAGGTAGGCACACAAAGGTGGCATGGGAGGTTGGGGCCTGGGGGCTTCATGGGGCTTCAAATGAGGAATCTCAGTAGGCAAACCAAGAAGTTCAACGACCAAGACACCCGCCTTCAGAGTCCATTAGGCACCTATTAAGAACTAGCCTCTGTGCTAGGAGCCTGGATGTAATGCTTCTTAATCTTCAAAACAGTTGCAAGTACAGATCCTTTAGATGTGTTGCAGATCAGTGGGATCATTTACACACCATTTATTTGGCACTTATCCCCTGTCTCAGTTGCTGCAACTTCAAGATGGAAATGAGATCTGAACAATTTAGTCAGAATTGAGCAATTTATGTAAAGAGGTGGAAGCGATGCCTGGTATATAGTAAAAACGCAAGAAATGTCAGGTGCAGCTGTCGTCCTGGTTAAGGTTCACCAGGCGCGGTTCCAACCATTAGGTAAGAGGACTGAAAACCACGGAGCTCTTAACGTCTGCAGCGCTCTCAGAGATGCAATGAAACAAGAAACCCTAGAGCCCCGACGCTCTCACAGAGAGACAGGCCATCTCAGCAGCAAATTAAAAAGCTCCTAACTTGGCCCCTCCCAAGACCCGGGGGTGTTCTCCCAGGAACCCTGCCCCTGGCATCTGGTAGTGGGCAGGTGGGTTGCGTCGGGGCGGAGGGAAAAGGGGACCGGTGTGGGCGGGGCCTGGGAAAGAGACCAGACGGGTCAGGCAGAACCGGTGCCACTGCGAGCCAGGGGCGGCAGGAGGGGGCGCTGCGGCGCCTGGGGCGGGAAGAG